AACATAGTCATGGCCATTTTTCTCCTAGCTTCAAATTCTGAACTCTTAGAAGACTTAGGTGTTTTGGTTTTGTATGCATACATTTTGAAATCCCTGGGCTGAAAATTTTCTAGATGTTTGCACACTCTACTCAGCCTAGGACATTAAGTGATATATAAAAATTAGTTCCCTAAATGACCATTAACCAGAAAATTTTCTCTGTCCAAAGAAAGGATTCATGCAACTCTAAGTATGCATTGCCCTCTGCGAAGCATATTAATTTTGGCAACCAGAGATAGATGAGAGTTATACTGTGTTTAAATTTTTCCTTGTGATGAGACAAATCTATTATTATAAAAGCACTACTCATCAGTGAGAGTGTTTCCTTCTGTTGTTTTAATTAAAGGAGAAGTGTATTTTTAAATTTATTATAGCACTTTGATGATCTGATACTTCCTGGCTGCAAGCTGAGAATTCTTTGGGTTTTCAACGTTTATAATGCATCTAGAGCAGTGCTGACCAAAAGAATGATGGAAATATTCTGTATCTACACTGTCCAATATGGTAGCCACATGTGGCTGGTGAGACTGAGGAAATAAATTTTAAATTTTCTTTAAAATTTAAATAGTCACATGTGGTTAGTGGTTACCACGTTGTACAGCACAGATCTAGAGCATCTAGAAAGTCTCCATTTAGTGTAATGGCATCCTGGGCTCTCAAGGTTCCTTGTTTTTGGTTGGGAAGTTGAGGCTGATTAAATTTGAAGTTGATAATGGATAGTATTGCTGTTAGCCAAAGGGAAGGACTTCTTTAACAAAGATGTAAGTTTATTAGACTTAAATATATTAGAAATGAAATATTAAGAAATAAAATAAATAGAAATATTTGAGAAGTCAAGTATTCATCCAAAAATAATTCTAATATAATTAATTTAACACATATTTAGAAAATATTTCTTATATGTAAAGAACTGTACTAAATGAAGAGGTGAGATGAATGGAACTTAGGTGGTCCCCTCAAGGAGCTTTCTATTTGCTTCTTCCTACGGGGGCTTTGATGGACCAAGGGGTGAGCTCTGTTCAAGGGAGGGTACCTGCTAGAGTGCAGAATGCCAAGTGGGGTATTTTCATCAGGCTGTTAACATCAGGAGTTGGCTTCAGTATTGTGCAGGATGGCTGGGGCTGTAACAGCATGAGGAGGAGCTATTTCATCAGGGAACAGTAAGTTGCCTCTCAACTCTGACATGCAAGATTAATTTTGGGTGAGAGAGGGTTGAGGGGGGATTGAGTCCCAAGTGATTTCCCCAGGTGTGCACTGCAAGAAGCTCTGCTGAGTTCCAGATGTGTTTGAGCAGTGCCCCTCAGGTCTTCACTGCTTCTGAGAGATGCACTTTCTCAAGATTCTGGAAAGCCGGAGGCAGAGACATCGGACATGGGTCCTTCCTCACACACACTCTCTTTCACCTAGGTGAGGAGGAATTCTTGATGATACTGAGCTTGGCTCACCAACCAGGAGTGTGTAATGTATATAAATATTCCCTTAAACAGAAGTATGGAGGTTGTTGGGTAAGCCAGATTTTTTAAAAAATTGCAGCAAGAGTTCAGCTTTTTTTTTCTTTCCAAATCTGGCAAGACCCTTGAGTTCAGTTGGCTGTGCTCTTAGTTGGAAACCCAGGGGCAAAGGAAAACCCACAGAAAAATAGTCTGCATCTGCTTCTATTCTGTGTAGCCACCTTACTTGCCCATTAAAGTTCTGTGTTTTTGGCTAAATAAATCATGAACTTATAGCAGAGGGGTGTGTGTTCCTACCAATCTATGACCCATCTACAGCCCCATGTCTTCCCATTGGTGCCACTAATAAGAGCTCACTTGGCGCTGCTTGGAGTCAGGGAACTCGGAACCTAACTGTCCTGGGCCCTCTTTCTGGCAGTTGGGTGAGTCATGAGGGACTGAGGGGTGAAGCTCACACAGGCGGGGAGTAGTAGGTTATGGAGTGAGAGAGGGAGACTGTGTAAACAGTGGGGAGCTGGACACAGAGGAATTAATAATCTGATCTCATGGTGCAAATGTGGAGGAAAAGGAGCTAGGCTTTTCCCCTTGGCTCCCTGGGGACAGGGGACTGTGTCACATGGACTTGTGTCTTGGCAGCTGGGCTTGTCAGGATCTAGTCACCAGAGTTACCCAATGCTTTGGGGTTTGTTTTTGCCAGGTCAGCGTTGTAGTTCTGCAGGCAGCCTATTATATCTGAGTCTGAGGGAGAGGGGGAATGGGTTATCTTTACACAGGGTGTCCAGACACCCCTGGCTCAGGAACTCAGCCACATATTGTGAGATGCTTGCCTCTCTCTGTGTCTGGTCATTGGTCTGTGGCCTTGGGCCATGATGTCAGGCTGACCAAGTTGGCACATGTAGCCTGGAATGGGTTAGGCTTCTGTCTCAGACATTAAGGAAAGGAACTGTCTAGTCCTTCCTGAAATAGTGCCCACAGGCTGGCAGAGTACTGACTGGCACCTGCACCTTTCAGAGGTAGTCTCAGGATAGTTGTGTGGAAATTCTCCAGTGTGTGGGTTGTGGGAGTGTATTCCATCTCCTTCCAAACACTGCCAGGGCAGAACCCAGTGGAGTTTACAAAGAATAGCTTACCTATTAGAAAAAAATATTACCTATATGTAAATAATCTTGGGTGCAAATGGGAAATGATGAGTAAATTTGACTGTTTAAAAATTTGAAATGTCTGTATCACCAAAGGCAAAACTGCAAATATAATTAAAAGAAAAATAATAGACTAGAAGAAAATAGTTAAATAGAAAGAATATAAGGAAGCTTCTACAAAATAATCAGGTATGATTTTTCTCCCATTAGATTGACAGAAATTAAAAAGATTGATAATATTCTGTTTTGGCAACAATGAGGAGAGATAGGTATACTTTATATAGAGCAAGTGTATAAATTGTTCAGACCTTGTGGAAGGGCAATTTGACAGTATATATGAAAATAAAATCACATACCTTTGATTCACCAGTAATTTTGCCTCTAGTGAAATTCACATGGGCACATGCTTATTCCATCATTGTTAGTAATGGTATTGGAATAGTATTGGAATAACTAAATGCACAATGGTACAGCCAGCATATGGAATATTATGCAGCACATAAAAAGTGTGGTAGATCTATATGCAACTAGTATGTGAAGCTCTCCCAAATACATTTTTAGTGAAAAAAATTTACAAAATTATCATATTTACATTAAAAATTCCTCAAAACTAGATATATTTCTATATTTATTACATTTAAAAAATTCTATATGTATTGTACATATGAAATCTATAGAATAAATTCATTTTAGATATATTTAAAAGCTCATTTAGATGTATTTCATGGATTCTAAAACATGTTATTCACATTTCAACATTTCTGAAATCAGTGTATCTAACAATTGGTGGCATAGTTAATACTTAAACTTTTTTTCTTTCTTGGTGAATCATGATATTGTAAGATTTTAGATTTAATGAAAGATGGTACGTAAATAGATTGATAAAGGACTCTAAGGAAGGATGGGATGGGGTTGAAGAGGTCAGTAGAGACTTCATCTGTATTTGAATTTTTTTAAACCATGAAAATGTATTACTTATTGTGTAATGTTATATGTATTAGAGGAGATAGAGTTGCCTACAGATCTGTGTCATCTGAGCCATTTCTCTACATCTGCCGTTGTACTTGATACTCAGCTTTGTCTGAGCACTTTATGGCCTGGATGGCTGAGAGATTGTTCAGCTCCATTAAGAATTTAAGTAGCTGTGAAGATACAGTGGGAGAGAATTGAGAGCTGAGGTCTGAGAAAAGGGGGATAGGAGAGCAGGATTCTAGAGCCAGGACCAATTGCTCCATCATAACCTTTACTTTCTGGTGAAGAGGTTGAAGGTACCAGTTTGCAAGGTGGTGCCAGGTTAGTCAGGGGTAATCACTGTAGGGTTACCCATCCACCAGCTGTGGGGGGCGGGGGGCGGTTCCCTGAGGTACACCTTGTCTGTGGTGTACCATCTGCTGTTTGGATAAGGGAATTGTATGGTGAGGCAGAAAAATAGATCAAACCAAGGAGCATTACCTAATGCCACTGAAAGGAAAATGCATTGTCTGGGTAGAGAACTAAGCCCTAGTGGGGAAGAGCCAAAGGAATAAATGGATTTTTAAATCTGAGGGGTGCAACAAGGCAGGTAGGAGATGACCTGCCATAGATTGGAGGATGGGTCTCCTCTGTTCTGGAGGGAAGCAATGGGAAGATTTTAAAGCGTAGGTTATGGCCAGACCATGAAGAGCCAAGAATGCCAGGTTTAGGAGTTTGACCTTGATTCAGTAGGCACATGTTTTACATTTAATCTTTTGGTTACCAAGTATTTTTATACCATCGTTGGTTTGAATGTTTTTTAATTTGGTCACTTCAAGTTTATTTTCTAGGGTTTTTATGATGTATGTTCAAATCTGTGTTAAAAGTATGTAGAGCATGGGTTTTTGGGTTTTTTTGCATATAAATGATTCAATTTCAAAATTTCATTTGCGCTACAAACTTTGTTTTTACTTTCGGCCTTCCAGCATTTGCAAATGACCACTTCTCTTTTGAAGGAGATCATAGGAGAGCCTAGTGTTTATCCCTATTCAATGAAAATAAAGAACTGTGCCCTATAAGAGGTGAAATTGAACATAAAAGATTTACCAAGTAAGATTAGTGGGAGATGAAAATGGGTGAACATTGTTTAGGGAAAGCTGTAATTTTGTTACCTTTGCTACAGTATGATTTGGAACAGCTTCTCTTGTCCTGCAATTCTTTACAGCCTTTCTTTTAAATCTGGCCACCTTTCCATTGTCAGTTTAACTTCAGTGTTAGCCTGGTGCTGCTGCTTCAAGTGCTGCCTTTGGCAGGAAGCCTCCAGTCAACTTTCCGGACTCTGGTTTTGGCTCCTCTGGTACCTTGCTGAGCTGAGCTGACTTTATGAATTTGAAATGTGGAGGATCAGTTTGGGGTAAGGAAATGTGGTAGCAATTCTTGCTTTTTCTGCCGCAATATAACTTATCAGATCCTCTTGTTTTTCCCTAAATGGTAAAAGGGTTTGCATTGAAATGGTTATTCATCTGTGTCTATGATGCACTTAAAAATAATAATTTCACTATTATGTTACAACATGCGTTATTTATTATTTTAGTAAATGAATATTTTAAGCAGCAATTTGCAAATTTAAACATGACAATTAATATGATATGACATAAAAAATTAAATAATCTCCCAGCATCTTTGTCATCAGCATTGCATTAATGATTTTAGCCCTTCTGGCAGCTTTCATTTTTTGTTTATTTTGACTGATGATGGCAGATTGTGATAGTGATATACTTTTATAAATTATTTTTTAGTCAGAATGATATTAGCCTGTAATGTTGACTGGCAGAACTAACACTGTTTATCATTGCCAGTGTTGTTTTGACTTATATTCTGAGTTCTTTCAGAAAGATGATAGAATGTCTATAATGGACATTTGCTGTCCACTGTAGGTTGCCCAGTGGTGGGCTGTGGTGGGGTCCACCTTCTGCTGTGGAAGCCAGCCCAGGTCAAATGAGCGTTTCTTCTTCTTGCCCCGTAGGAGTTACAGGGGTGGGCTCACTACTTAGGCTCAGCCTCCTGACTGCTTTCACCTGGAGTTTAAATCTGGAGAGAATGTTGCAAAATGCAGGGACAGTTAGTAGTGGCAGTAGAGTTACTGAAATTACTAAGATTTCTTTCCTGGATAGTCCTAGTCGTACACATCAATGTTACTACAGGTGGGCTTAGCTTTTACTTTTGTACATTTTGTACTGATGCCTCTAACGACCTTTGTGCACATGATCAGAACTTTAAGCATTGGATGGCAGAGAGTTCAAGCTATTGCATGGTGATGCTGCCTGCCAACCAACAGTTTGGGTTCAGCAGTGTTGACATCTTTTCCTGTGTAACAGTGCTTATTTGTGCAATTATTTGAATTTTCAGTAGAGTTGAATTTCAAACTGTCCTTGGAGGAGTTTTAGACTTCATGGAGATACCTTGGGCACCTAATAACAGTACCTCAGTTTGATATAGTCCTTATCATTTTTATATATGATAAGATGTTAAATGGGAGGTTTCCTGTTGTCTAAAATTTTGGCCAAAGTCCAAAAGCTGTAGCCAGTAGATGGAAAGTACCCACGTAGTCTGAGGAGAGATTTTAGAAGCATCCGTTGCAGGACTTGTCAAGAATTGGCCAAATAGGTCTAGCAACTTTTACACCCTCTACCCTGTAACCCAGCCTGTGTCAGGAAGACTAGAAATGGATTACATGCAAGGAACTCCCGGGGTAGGGAGTGCTCTTCCCTGAGGGAAGTGGGGGTTTCCCTCTCTCTGTCCTGCCTGCAATCATTTGAGAGAGACACCAAGAGAGTAATGAAAAGATTGGGGTTGATTGCAAAAGGAAATTGACATTTTATTGAACTGCACTCACAAGACAGGTGCTACTGTGGGATTAGAATGGAATCTGAGAAAGAGTTCTTTAGAGATTGTCGTGTGTCTTGGAGTTTGGAGATGTCTGTGAACACAGAGACTGGTGTCTTCCTCTCACCTGAAAGCAGCTGTGTGGCTGGAGCTTCCTAGGGTGGAGGGGTAGGGGGCAGTGTGTATAGAGAGGGGGCAGTAAATGCTTGACCTTTTCTGCTGGTCAGGAGGTCTCCCTGGAGGGCAGCAGCTGTGAGTCATCTTGAAAAACCTTCCCTGCAGAAGAAGACTGCCCACCATGTGTAGGACTCCAGCAGAAAGAGGCTGTGGGTGAACCACAGGGGCAGGAACTCAGCGGAGGCTGTGAGAGATGAGCCGAAGGGCCCTCATTGCCTGCCTCAGGCAGCGTGGAGATCCCAGTGAAGGGGTCTCACTAGTGAGAGCTGGCATTTGGACTCCTGCAAGTGGCAGATGTTTTACAGACCGGAGGACCACAGACAAATGGATAGACTTTCCTGTTTCCTTTTCCTCAAAATTGCCTCTTTTGCTCTGGCCCCCCACCCTTTCCTCAATGCTGGTCTCAGGGGAAAAGCTTCACACTGGATGAAATTAGTTTTGGTTTAGACTAGATTGGACTTTTTAATGCCTGAAAGTTTGGCTTATTTATTTAAGATAATGATTTCTTTTTAAAACTCTAGCTACAAATCAGTAGTTCTGAGTTACTGAACCCTGAAAAGTCCTTTCATGATGACACATTCGGCCGTCTCGGCCCCAGTAGACTAGAGCTAGGTTTTATCACTAAGTATAGTTTCTATTATGTTGTATCCTGCAGATTTCAAGCATACGACTTGCCAGCAATTACTGTGTCATCTGAGAAAGTTGAAATTTCATGATAAGCTGAAGACTGGAAATTTGCTAACTCAGTATACAGCTACTACAGGTCATGTCCCCATATTGGCCTTAGGGACCCCTTATGAATTAGCCTGAAACTTTGCAACTTTTAATTGTAATTTTTTGTATTTGTTGTTATTGGTTTATTTATTTTTAAATTATGGTGAGAAACATAAAATTTACCATCTTAACCAATTTTAAAGTGTAAAGTACATAGTACAGTACATTTTTAAAGTGTATTGTACAGTAGTGTTAACTTTGTGCACATTGTCGTGCAGTGGATCTCTAGAACTATTTCATCTTGTAAAACTGAAACTTTGTATCCATTAAACACCAATGCCTTCTCCCCTTTCTCCCTACCCGAAACCCTCAGCAATCACCATTCTACTTTGTGTTTCTAAGAGTTTGATTACTTTAGATATCTCATATAAGTGGAATCATGCAATATTTGTCTTTTCTGGCTGGCTTATTTCATTTAGCATAATATCTTCAAGGCTCATTCATATGGTAGCATATGACAGGATTTCCCTCTTTTTTAAGGCTGAATGATATTCCATTTTATATAAATACCACATTTTCTGTACTCATTTATCCATTGACGGACACTTGAGTTGCTTCTACCTCTTGGCTATTGTGAATAATGCTTCAGTGAAGATGAGTGTGCAAATATCTCTTTTAAATACTGTTTTCAATTCTTTTGGATATTCCTAGAATTGGGATTGCTGGTTCATATGGTAATCCAGTTTCAATTTTTTGAGGAACCTCCATACTGTTTTTCAAAGTAGCTGTACCATTTTACATTTCCACCAACAGTGCACAAGGATCTGATTTTTCCACATTCTCATCAACACTTACTATTTTCTGTTCTTTTGATAGTGGCCATCCTGATGGGTGTGAGGTGATTTCCCATTGTGGTTTTGATTTGCATTTCTCTTATGATTAGTGATATTGAGTATCTTTTCATATGCTTCTTGGCCATTAGTATATCTTCTTTGAAGTAATGTCTGTTTGAGTCCTTTGCCCATTTTTTAATCAGACTATTCGTTTGCTTTTTTGCTTGTTGAGTTGTAGCAGTTCTTTGTATATTCTGGATATTAACCCCTTATCAGATACATGGTTTGGAAATATTTTTTCACATTTCATAGGTTGCCTTTTCACTCTGTCCTTTAATCATATTTTTTGCAGTTAAAACATTTATTATAATTATTACTTTGGAATACTGAAAAGATTAGGAAATTATATGACAGATTTTGATCAGGTCTTCAGTATCTTCCCAATAGGCCCTATTGAGTAAGGCCTAAAGTCTGAATTAATTCCAGAGTTTGACTAAATGCTCTTCCTCCATAATCTTGTTCCCATCGACCTTTCCAGCTTTGTACACCCCATCATCATTCCTCCTTATCTCTCCAACTCCTCCTCTGTCCAAAGATTCCTAAAAATACTCTATTTCATCCTTTTGTACCCTTTCACTCACTGTTCTCTTTTTGTTTTCTTTTGCATGGCATATGGAATGCCTTACTTTCCTTCTTGCTTTACCTTATTTTTCAGGCTCCTTCTCCTTCTTCTCCATTTAGACTCAGGTCAGATGTGAAGATTTTCCAGTTAACCATTCAGTCAGCAGCTTCCTTCTTCCATGGCTTCTTACATACAACCCAGGTTAGAACACTTGTCCGGAGGTATTGTGAGGATAACTCTCCTCCCCTCCACCCCAGGAGTGTAAACTTCTGGAGCACGCAGCTTGGTCTTGTATTTTCACTCCTTCGTTCCTGTGAATCTACCACATATCCGGCCTATAGAGTTTGTCTACTTTAAATGATTATGGGTAGAAAGAAAGAGCAAACGCCTTTTTAGAAATAACAGAACTTTTTACCAATTGTTCTTCTGAATATCCTTTCTCTTCTAATTTTACCTGGTAAGATTTTGGCAGCTAATTGTAGATTTTATGAACTTACTTTGGGCTGCCTTTCTCTTCTGTTATAAAAGCAATAATTAGAGGAAATGATCCTTTTGAGAGGTTGCTTAATGAGTTCTGCTTCTGTTAAATGTGCTGCTTTAAATCTTATTTCAAGTAAACTGTACTAATGCCCAAATTATTTCACTGAAGATCGGTATTGAACCAAAGTATTATGATGATTAATTTCCTTCTGTTAAATTCCTTATAGTCTTTGGTGGTGGTAGTGGGGCTTAACAATCAAAAAAGAATGTATTGATGTTACATTTAGTATGGTTTACTCTGCTTGATTATATCATTCAAGAGTGATTTTGTGTGTCTTATAAGATTGTGCCATATTGGAATTTTATTTTCTGTTTTTGTTTTAACCACTGGTTTTTAAATTTAATGGTTTAAGATTTCAAAAAGCCTTTTTCTCTCTAAGTATTCAAATGCTTTTGTTATAATGCTGCAGACTAACCTTCTGGTTTCACTGCATCCTTCTCCACCCTTGAAACAAGCCCAGGCACAGACACACACTCTGGCACACACCCCACTGAACCCTTTCTCCTCCCCTACTCCTCGCACCAACATGATGCGAAATGTCTGTCCCGGAGACACTCTGATTGTGTACCTAGAGTGGTGGCCCAAGTCTAGTAGCCATTTGTGTTGCACCTCACCTCCCCACTATGGTGGCCCACAGGCATACCTCCTATCCCTTAGTCCCATTATGTTGATTAGTTCCTTTTGCTTCCATTGAGTCTTGTGGGCAGGGAAAATCCAGTGAGTCACGACTACCTGGAGACTTTCTTTTTTCTATTACCTCCTAACAAGGCCTGTTGCTTGCATCCTACAGAAAATAAATGATAGGCCTCACACGTATTTTGTGTCTTAGCAGTGAACTTCATCCAAGATGGATTTGATTTTTAAATGATTCCAACTTGCATCATGATTTAAATCACTAGTCAGGCAATTTCAGCTTTTCTATAAAAAACACATCCTGTTAAAAATTTAAATGTATTCATCATGGTTTGCATTCAGTAAATGAACACTATAAACCTATAAGCAGAGATCTGTGTTGCTTTTTTGGTGTCAAAAATTGAAAATTTGGGAACTATTTTGTTTCTTAGAACTTGAAAATTCTATAGGAAATTAACTATAGTTCAGTTGCAGATATTTTTGCCATGTTAAATTAGCTTTTTAACCATACCAAGCATAGCAGACAAACAGACACTTTAAAGTTATTTTGTTCAACAGAGCACAATAAGCCCTTATGTATATTTGCTGGACCTTTTCTTTGTCAATAATAAAGAACAACAATAAGGTGCTTATTATAGAATTTATGTCTTCTCAACAAATTCGAAATGCATTTGTAAACTAGGCAAGGCCACCTAGAATTTGGATCTTCATGAGTCGAGGTGTGTCGCTTCGTTGTTCTGTAGTCACTGAAGTCAGGTTTGTGATGGGAAGAATGTGTGCTGTGGACTGACCTCTTCTTGTACCCGTTCTGTGACTTTGCGTGAGCTAGGGTTAACCTCTTTGAGGGTTTTTTTCTTGTTTATAAAATTGGAAGAGGATTAAGATCATGTTTGAATATAGCACAAGGTATTAACTAATTTATTTTTTCTAGACAGCAACTTATATTTGTGTATTGCTTTCAGATGATGCTGTTTTATTTTTACTTTATCTCAGTGGATCTTCACTGCCTACTTATACAGTGGGTAAGGGAGGCATTACTCTTGTTTTGCAGCAAAGAAAACAGGTTCAAGAGAAGTTTTGTGCCTTGTCTGTTTTATCTTCTCCTGGTGAGTCAGTGACAGAACAAGAACTCCAGCTTGGGTCCCCTGACTCCACATCCTATGGTTTTCCGACTGAAATGCTATTTCATATTGTGCTATGGGATTATTCCAACAAGTGGTTCTTGAATAATGTTTCCTTAGCCTCAAGTATGTAAGTTGGATTGTGAAGGTTTTATCACTTGGGGTCTATGCACTGTGACCACTCTTCTTTGGGTGTGAAGTTGACCTGTACTCCTGAATAAGTGAGTGATCATCTCTTTTTTGAAAAGAAACTTGAATATCTGAGGTATGGCAATATTACAATGAAACCTACTCCACATCAATACCAGCATTGTTATTTTTGGTCAAATATTACGTAGTTAGACTTTCTCATCCTTATCCTAGTCTGTATTGAACTAACTTAAAATATCTCAGATTTAGGCAGCTTTTATATTCTTTTGACTATATAGCAACAAGAGATTTAAAACTTTAAATCAGTTACATATATGAAACAATAGGAAAGCAGTGGAAGATAAAATCTCTTGGTAATGTAGAAGTTGAAGTTCTGGAGAACTTCAGAAAAGATAGATCGGTAGGATTTCCTAGAGAAAGTGTGAGTTTAGCTGCACCTTGGGTCAGAATAGCAATCTTTCTATTAACTTATTGCTAATATCTAAACACAGATAAGTCTGGCATTAACTAATGTTAATATTATCTATAGACATCTAATCTTCAAAACAGAAAGTGGAGGTGGATTAGGCTCAATGGGCTCCTGTTGCTCAGAAGATGTGGTCAGAGCTGTTTCTCTGTATTTTGAACTCTGCTCTCTGTATACATATTTATTATACATATTGGCTTTCTCCTTGGGGATGGGAAAGTGGCTACCCAAATATCCTGCCAGGTGAGCAGTTTCAGCCCCTAAAGACTTTTCTCTCCCAATCTGCATGTAGAAACAGCTCACCTGAGGCACGTGCCTACCCCTTAGACCAGCCGTTGTCACTAGAGGCTCAGGGAGTATGGTTTGGAGGATGTACCCATCCAGGTGGCTGGGGGTGAGGGCACTGTGATTGACAGTTCCCCAGGACCAGGAGTGGAAGTGGGGTTCCCTGGAAGAAAGGGAATGGTGTACCAAAGGAAGAGGAGAGAGTGGGAAATGTGCACAGCAGCTACAAATAATAGCTATTATAGTCTGTGACATAGATAGTCCTGCAAAACAGTTTCAGAATTGTTCACTGGGTTCGGGTATGGGGACATTAAACACAGAGAAATATTCAAAGTAATTCTAGACTATTTGTCCAGGTATCATTCCCTGTTAGAGGAGTTTTTAAAGCAGCAAATCTTTAACTACTCTTTTTACCCAATATACCATGAAAGTATGTACTCTGTTCAGTTGTTTGTGCCTTTGAATATTCATATGTATCTTTTATATTTGTTTTTGTAGGTTAAAAATGTAATCACCGTGGCCATCTATTTGGATGTGACAACCCTTCATTTTATAAAATAATTAGTGTTGAATCAAAGTTTTTGCTCAACATCTCCTATCAAGTAACCTATCAAAGCCAACTGAATGAATGATTAAAAGGTTCAGATCAAAAGCAACTGGCTTAACTTCATGGAGGTTTTCATCCTTTATTTTAAGATGTGTCTATGTCTAACTGATTATTGCTCACCTTTTAGAAAGAGATATTGACGTCCTGTAAAGTGTGCACTGACCTCACTTCTGGATGTGTGGGCAGGTTTCACTGCAGGCCTCTGAAGCATTGATATTCCTGTAACCTTTGAGGCAAGATGTGTGTATAGTGTGTTAATGAGCTGGTTGAAGTGATGTACAGTAATTTCATCCTTGGGTAAAAACAGATGTGAAAGATTCTGTTTTAATAGTTAATCAGGCTCCAAGCCTCTGTTGGCTTGTTTAAGTTGACCTGACAGCATTATACCTGGAAACACTTTGAATTAAACTCTAAGTGTTTGACCTTGTTCAAACAGTTGTAATTTAATAAGGCTGCTGTCTTGGTGGAGATAGTGTGGCTAATAGGCAAATCCTTTTCTGGCTAGGATTGTTCTGTTTGTGAGTGCTTGGGGTGGGGGGATTCAGAGATTCCTAGATTTCCACCAGCTTTTGAGAGGAACTGGAGTTGAAGAAGTGAAAAAAATCTAAATTAAGAACTTGTCTTTTAGAAGACCTTTAAAAACGTGTGTTTTGTTTTAATTTTTAGCCTTATGGAAGTAATGTTTTTAATGTCATTGTAGTTGACCTCATTTTGGTTGAAAAGAATGAAAAATCATTTATTGAAAAGGGGGGCTAGAAAATTCTCAGAAATCAGAGTCCTAGGAGAACTGGGTGCTAGCTCTGGCACCCTGTCCATGTGTCTGTCCATCCCTTGGTCCACCCATCTGTCTGCCCACCTCCCTGCCTATCCATTCTCTTCTTGTCCCCTCTAGTCTCTGTCTTTGCCTTCGTCTGCACATTGCTTGCTCTGCTCTCATCTGTTGCTTCCTCACTCTGTGTTCCATATCTTTTCCTCTACCCCATAGCTTCTGCTTACTCATCATTTCTGTCCTCTCATGCCATCAATTCGCTGTGGCCCTTATTAATTTCAACTCTCTTGTATCCTTTCAGCTCTAGTACCTGCTATTAACAAGTTTGTTTCCTTCTTCAGATTCCAGATAGCCAGGTTTCTACTAGTCTTTTTTGTGCCATGCCAAAACTGCTTCTGTTTTTTAGAGCTGGGGGCTATGCACAGGACAGGTTTTGGCTTGAAGGAAAGCTTGATTGGACCAAATACCACGACTTGCCCAGTGTAAATGTTTATATATATATGTGTATATATATATATATATATATATATGTGTATATATATATATATATATATATATATGTATATATATATATATATATATATATATATTCCCCCCACCCTGGTTATAAGAGTGCTTATTGGAAAAAAATGAGAAAATTTAAAAATTAATAAAAATGTAATTAAAATCTCCTGTAATTCTGTTACTCAAATGACTAACCACTTTGGTATATTTCCTCTTATATTTTTTCTAGTTTACACGTAAAAATTATATACACATTAAACACCCTCAAAATTTAGAACTGTATTGATAATATTTTAAAGGTCTTCATATCTATTTGTCACCAGTGACACTTGTAGGAATACTCTGGCTATGAGACTTGTATTAAAAGCTGTGCAGTCTGGTGTGAATATTTTATTAATTCTTGGCCTTTGACTAATTTTAATGTGTGGCATCATTAATCATTTTGTATTATCCTCTCTTTGACTTACATTATTTATCAACCCCTTTCCGAGGAGTTAACTTGTGTTTCCATCTTTCACACTGCTTCACATAGTGCCTTGTACTAAATAGATGTCCAGTAAGTATTTAGTCTTAATTTTTATGAAAATTTGTGTGCTCAAAATACATTGATAAGGTTCCAGCTCAAAGAAATAAAAAGTAACAATATATATGTATAAGCTAGTATGCTAAAGATATGGAAAAGGAATAAAGAGAGAAATATCCTAATTGCTTTAAAACTAATGGGCATTTTAACAGTCCATGTGGTGTATGAGGTGTCTCCTGTAGGAAGCTGGCTCGTTGTTTCAGGAACCCTCCTGGGGTAGCATTCATTAATTATCTTGTTGGATTTGCCATGGTCCAGTGTGGTAGGCAGAATCCTAAGAATAAGCCCCAATGGCCCTTGCCTTTGGTGTACTCCCCTCCCCTTTGAGTATAGGTGGAACCTGTGAATGTGCTGAGATAGCACTCCCATTATTATACTACCTTGTATAGCAAAAGGGAAAGTATCCAGGTGGGCTAATCTAATCACACCAGCCCATTAAAAACAGTTTTTTTCTGGCTAGTGGGGAAAAAAGAGAGATTTGAAGTATGAATAGGATTCAATTCACTGTGTTGTTGCTGGCTTTGAAGATGGTGGGGGCCATGTACCAAGGAATATGGGTAGCTTCCAGAAGCTGTGTGTGGCCCCCAGCTGACAGCTAGCAGAGAAATGAGGACCTCAGTTCTACAACCGCTAAGAATTGAATTCTGCCAACAACCTAAATTAGCTTGGAAGTGGATTCTTCCCAGGAGGGTCCAGATAATAGCCAAGGCTGGCCAAATACCTTCAGTTTGGCTCTGTGAGACCTTAAGCAGAGAAGCCAGTTGAGCCTGCCTGGACTTCTGACCTACAGAACTGTGAAATAATAAATAGGTGTAGTTTTGAGTCACTGTTTGTGGCGATGGAAAATTAATACATTCCAGGGTCTGGCTGATTCTTAGCTTTGTCAAATTTTGTCCTTATTTTTTTCTGGATATCAAGGGCAGAGCTCTTTTGCAGAGACTAGCCTAGCTAAAGAAACTGATGCATGAAGTCAGGAGGCCAGTATAATTATTTGTTTATTTGCCTGAGAAGTAGTTGTCCCAAGGACCGGGGTACTCAGTTTGAATGGTCAGTATATTATCTCCCTGAAGCTAGACTGCATAGGAAGCCAAGCTTGTATTAGTGAGCATGGCATCTAACCAGAAGAGTTAGTTAGATGATTACAGTTTTTCTCTCACAACAGGGATGCCTTCTCTTTGTCCTGGACAGTGTTTATATGGGAACTACCAACTTATCTGGAGACTTTCTGTCTTAGTTTCCAATTATTGTATTAACAAATCACCGCAATTTAGTAGCTTAAAACAATTCACTTAATATCTCATAGTTTCTGTGGGTCAGGAGTCAAGGCGTGGATTTGTTGGGTCCTCTGCTCAACATCTCACCAGGCTGAAATCAAGATGTTGGCTGGGGCTGTGGTCTCATCTCAGAGTTGAGGTCTTCCAGGCTCACTGGCTTTGGGCAGAGTTTAGTTCTTTGTGGTTGTAGGACTAGGGCCCTCTGTTCCTAGAGGCTGCCCTGCCACGTAGCATTCTCTACAACATAGCTTTTTGCTTCTTGAAGGTCAGTTTGAGAATCTCTCACACACTTCCAATCTTTCCAATCTCTGATCCTTTTAAAAGCCCCCATCTGATTAAGTCAGGCCTAAGCTGGATGATCTGCCTCTTGATGGGCCCAAATCAATGGATTTGAGACCTTAATTACATCTGCAAAATTCTCTCGCCTTGGTCATATAACATAACCTAACTGTGAGAGTGAAATCCATCATATTCATGATCCTGACCATACTCAAAAGGAAGAAATTATAGAGGATGTATATACCAGGGGGCCATCTTAGAATTCTACCTACCGCTCCCTTAGTCTGTGCATCCATTGCTGACTGACCACCTTGCTGTTTGACAGCTTCACTCTTTAGCTGTGTTAATACATCCAGTGTTTGGAAGTCCAGACTTGGAAGCTATTTTGCGTCTCTAAAGTGACTCCATAGTTCTACTCATATTTAGTATGTGTTGATTTTAAAGTTTAAATTTGTAAAGGCAGTTTTATTTCTCTCTTTCCCCCTTTAGCAGTTGGGAGATGGGCAGGGGGAAAGGTCTTCACTGTAATTTCCAAGGTCCTGACAGCAGTGGGCCTCTGTTTTTAGTTTTATGGTCTAAAGATTTTGGATTATTAGAGAAATTCTACCCTCACTGAACTTTTTGAGGATTGTAACTTAACATTTCTACTTAATGGATGGAGAAACAGAAAAGAGGAAATGAGTTGTTTGTATAGTTAAATTATTAACCATTGAAGAAATGCAAGTACATTGTTTCTTATTTATTTTCTGCATTCTCTCAATATGATAACTTCCACTAAAGGCATAGTCTAAAATTAAAGCAATTAAGAAAAACTTTGCTATCATGGGGATTTTGACAGTACATAAACAATAGATCTCCTTGCCCATTAAAATGAATGCTAAGGAATCCAGAATGTTGTCATGAGGTAGATGTTTACCAATCCTCGTCTTGTGAGAGATCGTTGCCTCAGGTCACAGTGGCCAGGGATGTAGCAGAGTTAACCTCCCTCGCTTTCTAGGGAAACTGTCAAGAAATGGGCAATGAATTAATAAGTAAAAAGTGTTCTCTGAGCTATCGGCAGTCAGTTGTTGATTGACTGATGGAAAAGGTAGGAGGTAGGCTAATGGAAGACAACATTCAAACTCAGCTGTTGACTCTCAACTGAGCGGAACTGGGGGTTTCTGCTGCCTTTTGCTTATTTTCCCTGAGTGGTAGTAGCATGTAGGTTAAACCTGGGAATCGGGCTGCCTGGGGTAAATCCTCATTCTTCCATTTACCTCAGTCTCTCGAGCCTTTCTTTTCCTATCTGTAAAATGAGGGTTAAAAGAGCCCCTGTGAACTCTTAGTATGATGCTGAGCACCAGTGCTAGTGGTGGACCAAGGAGAGGTGGCTGTGATGGGAGCCATCAGCCCCAGCAGGGAGGAGTTAGAATTATTTAGAATTGCCAGTGCAAAGTGATAATAAAAAGCAGACTGACTTTTAGTGAGTTCATTACTGTTTTTAAATTCGCTACAGACAAGGTACCCCCTTATTGCCTGAACCCTGGGTGAAGCACTCCTACTTTGAAATGCTACTGCCTTGCATGTAAGTGCTCAAAAATGTATACTGTTACATCTCAGCTCAAATGTGAGAGGAGCAGTATGTTTTCTTTAGAGAAGAAATCCTAGGTGAACATGGTCTAATAACATTTGTGATAGTGTGTAGAAAAATTGGTGTAATAAAAATAATGAGATTTTTAGTATGCTTTGTAAACTGTTGTAACTAAAATGTAGCAAAATCTGTTGAGAATGGTTGTAAACTAAGATATAGCAAAATCTGACCTGAAAAATAGAAAAATGAAGCAACAACTGATTACTCAAAAAAATCTTTCTGCTTTTTTCTTTGTCTGGATCCTAAACATTGTGATGTTTTAAACGTGTACACGAGTACATGAAATATCCCCTTCACTTACTTCAGTCTTCCGTTTTGTCTGTACACTGTGTTTGAAAGACTATAGTGAACAAACTTAGAGTGTAAGCCGGAGCTTGGCAATCAGGATGATTCACAGTCTTGGCCTCGGCCCACTTTCCCTGAGTCGTCACT